GAATAAATCTCTTTAAAATTATTTTGCAGAGTTTGGCTTTTTCCTGTTGACAATGGTGATAAAAAATAAAACCTAAAAGAAAAAGGGTGAGACAGCATGACAAAGACTCAGTCTTATTATAAAAAGGTATCTCTTTCTCCCTAATGTATTGATACATTTTCCCAAATTAATTTTAACGTCCCAACAGAGATTTTTTTCCCCCTCACTGGAACTTGACAAGCCAATTCTAACACTGATTTGGAAGAGCAAGGGTCAAAACAAAACAAAAAGACAAACTTAGAAGAACAAGGCGGAGGGATCAGATAAGATAATAAGGAACCGCAGCCATGCCTAGAGGGATGCAGGGACAGGCAAATAGACCCATGGGGCAGAACCAAAGCACAGAAAGGGGCTCACTCTGCCACTTAGTAAATGACAGAGGCAGCACATCCAGGTAATGGGGAGATATTTTTAAAATTAATAAATGGTGCCAAGACAACTGGTTATCCATACAGAAGAGAATGCAGTTAGGTCCGGGGGTGTTGAGATTAAATAAATATATACATGTTTTCACATTAAATAAATATATACATGTTTTCACGCTCAGTTCTTGGCTCACAGGTTACATAGCCTTTGTCTTTTGTGATAACGTTGGGTGTGTCAGGCCTGGGGGAACAGAATCCTGCCCTCCTTTCACCTGCCCTACCCAGAACTCTATTCTACCTCTATCTTTCTGATTGTGGGTCATAAAACTCTCATTCCAAAGAAGGTCCTGCCCCATACCCTGGAGGCTAATCACATTTCTACCCTGTAGTGCATACAACCCAAGAGGACAGCAAGGAGAGCATCCAGATAGCTGAACAAGAGGAGGTTGCTGGAGGGTGGCACGCCCAGGGACGGCATGGAAGCTCCGCACCCCTGCCCCATACCTTGCCCCAAGCATCTCTTCTTCTCTATCCTTTGTACTGTCCTTTATAATGAGCCAGAAAATGGCTACAAGTATTTCCCTGAGTTCTGTGAGCTGCTCTAGCATATTTTTTTTTTTTTTTGAGACAGAGTCTCACTTTGTTGCCCAGGCTAGAGTGAGTGCCGTGGCGTCAGCCTGGCTCACAGCAACCTCAATCTCCAGGGCTCAGCGATCCTACTGCCTCAGCCTCCTGAATAGCTGGGACTACAGGCATGCGCCACCATGCCCAGTTATTTTTTTGTATATATATTTTTAGTTGGTCAATTAATTTATTTCTATTTTGGTAGAAGACGCAGGTCATCGCTCAGGCTGGTTTCGAACTCCTGACCTTGAGCAATCCACCCGCCTCGGCCTCTGCTCTAGCATATTAATCAAACCCAAAAGGAGGTCATGGGAACCCCAACTTGAAGGCAATTGGTCAGAAGTTCTGGAGGCCCTGGGATTGCAACTCATGTCTGAAGTGGGAGACAGATTTAGGAGGCAAGTTCTGACACTGCATCTATCTCCAGTTAGATAGTGTTGGAATTGAATTAGGTGACATCCAGCTGGTGTCCACTGCTTGGTGTGTGTGGGGGAACCCACATTTGGCCACAGAAGGCTTCTTCTGTGTTGACTGCTGTGGTTTCAGAGCAGAGGAAAATCGCTGTTTGAGTTTTTCCAAAGAGTCCCTAACCCTACACCACACACAAGAATCAATCCCAGGGAGATTAACATCTAAATGAAAAAAACAAACATTTTTTCAAAATTAGGAAAATATCTTTAAGACATCACAGCAGAGAAGGCTTTCCTAAATAAGCCTTACAAAATATAAAGAGTGCTAATAAAATTCAACTACTCGAAAATATAACACTTCTGTGCAACAAATGACACAATAAAGTTAAGAGACAAGCCTTAACATAGAGCACAATACTTGAAATGAATACAATTAATACAGGATTAATATCCAGATTATATAAAGAACTCCTACAAATCAATAAGAAAAACAAAAACAACCCAGTAGAGAAAAAAAAAAGGTCAATGGACAAGAACAGGCAATTCACAGAAGAAGAAATATGAATGGCCAATAAATATATGCAAATGTGTTCAGTCTCACTAATTGAGGAAATGCTTGTTAAAATCACAAGGAGCTGCCATTCTATTTTTAACAGATTGGCAAACATTAAAATGATTGCCGATATCAAGTGTTGATGAATTGGTGGAACAGTGGTGATTATCATTTCCTGGTGCCGGGACTACACATTGGTACAATCACTTTGGAAAGGAATCTGGTAACACCTTTAATGTTGAAGCTGTGTGTTTCCTGCAACCCAGGGTTTCCACTCCTGGGAGTCTACGTCAGACAAGCTGGCGTAACACCCATGAGCATAAGCAGAAACCTACAACATTGCTCTTGGCAGCCTTGTTAGTGATAGCACAAAGCTGGGAACAGCTTACATTTCCCTCAATAGGGAAATGGATTAATGAGCTGTGGTTGGGGCATACAACGAAATACTATATCACTGTTAAAGACAATGAATTAGAGCCTCATGCATCAAGATGGATAATTTTTAAATTTCAAACAATAACAGCAAGTTTTTTTTTTTTTTTAATAACAGCAAGTTGTAAAAGAAGACCTATAGTATACCATGGAAACATATGGTAAGTTTAAAATATGCAAAATTAATATAATTTAGTCAAAAATATGCAAAACTATATGTATAATTAAGTTTTGTTTTTGTTGTTGCTGTTGTTAGACAGGGTTTTACTCTGTTATCCTAGCTAGAATGCAGTGGCATGATCATAGTTCACTGCAACCTCAACTCCTGGGCTCAAGCCACTCTCCTGCCTTAGTCTCCTGAGCAGCTGGGACTACAGGCACATGTTACCACACCTGGCCAATTTTTTGCAGAGACGATGTGTTGCTCCTGGCCTCAAGTGCTCCTTGCACCTCACTCTCCCAAAGTACTAGGATTAAAGGCGTGAGCCACCACACCTGGCCTATACAATTAATTTTTTTGCATATATTTACACGTGATATTTATAAAGTTAAAAAGACATAAATGGGAATAATAAACTTCAAATTCAAAATAGTAGTTACTTTTAGGAGAATATAATATTACAGAAAAAGTACACAAGGTTATAGCAACTATCATATGTTTGTGTGTATATATACTATATGTAGTTTACATTATGGTTCATCCTTGGTGTAGTACATGCTATGGTTTTGGAAAGTGTATATGTAGGGCAGAGGAAGGGCAGAGGAATTTGTAGGACAGAGGAAGGGCAGAGGACTTTTTCCAATTGTCGGGAATTTACTTGGGTGAGGCAATGAGCTAACCGCAAACTTGTGCTTCTGGTCATTGCTTGCTTGCTACACCGCTGTATGGGGAATTATGGGATGAGGTCATTGAAGCACAGCCGACTGGCCCATCAGGCAATAGAGGGCAACCAACCCGCCAATTATTTCAAAAGGCAATAGTGGGCAACCAATCATTTTAAAGGTCAACGCATGATCCACTCGTAGTCAGCTTGTGCGCAGCTTGTGCACCATGGGGATAAAAGGCATGCCATTGTTCCGGTCGGGGTCCTTGCCTGCGAGAGTGGCCACTGCGTTGGTGCTCTGGGGCTTGGACCCTGGCTAGCCAGAAAATAAACCTCCTCTTGTGTGATTGCATCCTCAATGTCTCTGCTTTTCTGTCCGGTGGGGCTGTGGAAGGTCGGTCCCTAACATATAATGACATGACTGCTGAGCTGTGTGGCTGATTCTTTAGGGATAAGCAAACCATCTTGTCATTACTGTTTTTCCTCATTACTTTTGAATCATGGGGTTCCTCAAGAAAGTAACACTTAGTGGGCCCCAAGGACCTAACGGAATCCCTTAAACTACTTAATTATCATGGTGTTGGGGATTATGGTACTGCAGGAATAGAATGTATTAACTAGCCTTACCCCAACCCCTGCCCCAAACATATGATACACATGCACCATAGCTCACTGTAAACTCAAAGTCCTGGGCTCAAGTGACCTTCCTGCCCTCAGCTTCCTAAGTAACTGGGGCTACTAGTGAGTGCCATCACGCCTGGCTAATTTAAAATTTTGTTTTGTAGAAACAGGAGTCTCACTATGTTGCCTAGGCTGATCTTGAACTCCTAGCTTCAAATGATCCTCCTGCCTCAGCCTCCCAAAGTGCTAGGATTATAGGGGTGAGCCACCACACCCGGCCTCCCAGTCATCTTTTTGTGGATGATGTTTCAAAAACTACTAACTCTATTTCAGACTTTATCTGCTATCACTCATTTTACTACATGCTACTTTCATTGCTGTTTTCTTTCTCTTCTTCCTTGGCTTGGCCTGTAATATACTCATAAACACAAACATATACACATACACACACAGACATGTTATGTTTTCTGTCTTAGCTGCTCTTGGCTGAGAAATTGTTATTGCTCTCCCAAGTCACTGTCCTTCTCAATTCCTGCTGCCGTCGTCATCTTCCTCCCCATTTGTTTTTCCCAGAGAGGGTCCATGCACCCTCCCAGACACTATCTGCTCGATTTGGGCCAGATGGGAGTTTCTCCTGCTCAGCCTGTGTGTGGTTTCCCCATCCATTTACAATTCTTTTGGAAATTCACAATCTTCATTTGTGCTTTTGAAAACCACTAAGCTTCTTCTATACTTTAAAATGACTGTATTTAAGTTTTATTCCATTTATATAGAACATCTGCTAGGCCAGGTTTTCTTTTCTTATGTATATCATTTTGGGGACTATTTTATGGTATTTTACGAACATTTAGTTCACACACACACACACACACACACACCCCACAGTTCCCATCATTGTATACGTGTTTCCTCACTTCTTTGCTCCTAATAATTCCTATAATTTGTGGTAGGTGCTCTGTATTCAAATTCTCATCTAATTTTTGCTTCACAACCGCCCTAAGAGGTAGAGTTGTTATCTCCATATAATGGATAATAAAATGGGAGTTTCAGGAGGTCAAGTGATCTTTCTGTTAAGATGACACAAGGTTCTCTTTCTGATGTAACAAACTGGAATCCCTTAAAATGGAATTAGCATAGTCAGAGCATGGAGTTAGAAGAGGAGCTTGGAAATCAATATTTGAAGATTCCTTGTCTTAAAGGGAGGAGAGTATAGCAATCCTGGTGAGATTATACCAACCCTAGTCATAGGTAGAGTAACTGGGCTTTATCCAAAATAATTTCCTAGACACATTGTCTTAGTCAGTTTGGGATGCTTGGACTGAACACCAAAGACTTTGTGGTTCAAACAACGAACATACATTTCCCACAGGTCTAGGGGCTGGAAGACCAAGGTCGGGGTCCCAGCACGTTCAGGTGAGGGCCTTCCTTCTAGTTCACAGGCAGCTGCTGTCTTGCTGTATCCTCGCCCTGCAGAGAGCAGAGAGAGGGGAAGCAAGTGCTCCCACTTCGTTTTCTAAGAAGGGCACTAATCCCATCAAGACGGCTCCACACTCATAACCCACCCACCTCCCAAAGGCCTCACGTCCAAACACTACTACCGGTACATTGGGCATTAGGGTTTCAACATACGAATTTGGCAGGAGCGTGGACACAAACATTCAGTCCCTAGCACGCATGTGTGTGAAATTCCAGAACAACAAGGATAACGAGATAATCCTGGAAGCTTCTAGAAAGAAAAAAAGCAAATCACTTACAAAAGAATGAAAATAGGGTTGATAGCAGATGATTTTATACACAACACTGGATAGCAGATGTCAAGAGAGCAATGACTCCAAAGTCCTAAACCCAGAACGTGCAATTAAGTCCTGAGTCAGACCATCAATCAGTTGTGATACTGAAAAAATGACATTTTCAGATATTCAAGACCAGGAAAGTTGATCTGACGTGTATACCTTTGGGAAAAAATTCACAAGAGTAATGAAACAGAATCAATTTTATACTGATGCTTAAGATATGAAATGGTACAGGCTTAGGGACATAAAAATCACTGTCCCTAAGTTCCATTATGGATGAAGTTCCAGTATTTTGTTCAAATAGCAAATAATATTAACATTATTTAATCATATTATTATTTATATTAGGTAATTATACTATTGTAAATACTGTTTATTGGCTCTTGACTTTCAAAATTGGCCTATAGACACGTCATAGAATATTTATACATGCCAAAAGAGATAGTAACATTATAAATCTTCATATCATAAAAATAATGGTATACCTGGCAGAAGTTGGGAGGTAGAGAGAGGGAGAATCAGTGGTGGTTGGTGGGATCTTACAGAATGGGAAGAAGGAAATACTGTTTACAGTTGAAAGATCAAGAAATAGAGGTTTAATTCTATTATTTAAAGTTATAAAGTTGTGAGAGACTAAATATCCAAACAGACAATGGCCAGATCAGATAGATAGGTAGGTAGGTAGATATATAGATACATAGATAGATAGATAATAGGTAGACAGAACTTTAATCCCAAACCTGCAGCAACCTGCCCAGGAAACCAGTCTCTGTCTCTACAATAACCACTCCGAAGCCAGCCACTGTACCAGGGCTGTCCAGAAGGTGTCCAGCCATGTAAAAATAACACATTACATTAACAGTGGCTGGATACTTTCCGGACAGCCCTCATGAGTCAGACTTCCAGGAAGCCAAACTGCTATCTCTAGCAACAATCCAGGAAACTAAACAATAACCTTTGTAACAATCAGCCCCCAAAAGCCAGGACTTGACTAATAACTGACAACTTCCCTAATTTTTATCCCTGTTTCCAATTTAGGACCAAGCAGAGGAAGCCACATATGCGCCCCTAACTAATGACACAGTTCGCCCACTTCTAATCAGTCCACCTACAGCTTCCCCAGGCCGACAGTGTTTGGTAAGACCAGGACTGAAGTCTTCTCTTTTTCCCACTATGAAGCTTTCCCACTCCCCTGCCTGCCTTTGAGTCTCTGCCAAGACACAAGTGGCGGTGGGTGGCTGCCTCCCTTGCTACAACACGCTCAGAATAAATAGCCTTTGCTTTTCTCATGTGGTTGGTCCTTATTTATTTCCACAGTTGACTCATAGAAGGACCAAAAGATAAAAATATCATAAACAAAAATTTAATGAAGGAGGGAAAGGGGAGAAGACAAACCAAATTCTTCTTTTTCATGGGGAAAAGTCAATAGATATTATTTAAAGAAATATATAAAGAAATAGGATATAGCATATTATTTAGAGTCATGGGGTACTTTCTTATAATTTACAAAGAGAAATGGTCAAAAGTAGCTCCCCAAGGATTAGGATGGGCAAAAGGAAGAAGGCATTTAATTTTTACTGAAGAGCCTTCTACATTTTTAACTTTTGTTTTTATATCCTCATTACCTTTTTTTTTTTTTTTAACAAGGTCTAGCTCTGTTACTCAGGCTGGAGTACAGTGGCAGGACCACAGCTCACTGTATCCTCGAACTCCTGGGCTCAAAGGATCCTCTTGCCTCAACCTCCCAAGTAGAGTAGCTGGGACTATAGGCACTCACCACCATGCCAGCTAATTTTTAAATTTTTTGTAGAGACGGGGTCTGGCTATGTTGCCCACACTGGTCTCGAACTCCTGGCCTCAAGCAGTCCTCTTGCCTTGGCCTCCCAAAGTGCTGGGATTACTAGCATAAGCCATCGTGCCCAGCCACATTACTTTTATAATTAAATACATTTATGGATCATTGCCTTTTATTATTATGGATACGAATTCTGTTTTCAAAATATAGATTCTACACCTAGGAAACTGATCTCCAAGCAAAGACCCAGGCAACAGGGAAGGCGTGAACAGAGGTTGGGCCACACCTAAGTGCTCAGGGAAGGGCCAGGGAAGAGGTGGGGCAGTGTGGGAGGGGGTGTTGTGGGAGGGGGTGGTATTGGCGGGGGTGGTAGGCATGTGGTCATGGTTTTGGGGGTGGTTCTCAGGAGGGACATCAAGACATCCAAACTGGCCGGGTGTGATGGCTCATGCCTGTTATTCTAGCATTCTAGGAGGCCGAGATGGGAGGATTGCTCAAGTTGAAACCAGCCTGAGCAAGAGTGAGATCCCATCTCTACTGAAAATAGAAAGAAATTAATTGGAAAGCTAAAAATATATAGAAAAAATTAGCCGGGCATGGTGGTGCATGCCTGTAGTCCTAGCTATTCGAGAGGCTGAGGCAGTAGGATCGCTTGAGCCCAGGAGTTGGAGGTTGCTGTGAGCTAGGCTGATGCCATGGCACTCTAGCCCCGGCAACAGAGTGGGAGTCTGTCTCAAAAAAAAAAAAAAAAAGACATCCAAACTTTCCTGTGCCACACCTTTCTTGGGGACATTTGTTATCTAATCCAGTAACTAACACATGAGATCACACTGACAGCAATGACAGCGGGTGTAGAGAAAAAGAGGGTGAATCTGCAGAGACAAAGTTAAAAAATCAGGATTTGATACCAGGTAGCAAAGTTGAAATTCATCTTTAATGTTCAAATAAAACAGTTTTCTAGGGAAAACATGAATCCACTTTCACTTAAGATCTAAAATAAAACCGTCTGTCCTGCTTTATAATTCTTAAAATTATGATGATTTAAATATCTTTTGATTATTTTCCCTTTATATCATCTATGGGGGTGGGCGTGGATAATGAATACTTGGTTAATGTCTGGAACATTCCTTGCAGCTCTAAGTGAATAATTGAGCTGGTGCCAGTAGCTGGCTGAGAAGAGGGAGGTCACAAAAGGCTGCTGTTTTATTTAAGAATCCATACAGCTTGCTCTTGTCCATTAACACTAAAGAAAGAACTGAGTGTGGGGGCCTTGTTATCTTTAAACACCCACTAAGTGGCCGCCTGCTACAGTATCGGAACAAACAGTGCTGAAAACACAATGTAAATATTCAAACTGAAGGAAGTTCACTGCCATTCCGGTGGAGTAAAGTGTTGGCACCATCTTAAAACTGAGACTTTATTTTTAGCCAATGGGTATAGAGTTGTCGAGAACCCATCACGTCTGCTGGCTGCCATGATTTTTTTTTTTTTTTTGAGACAGAGTCTTACTCTGTTGCCCCGGCTAGAGTGTCGTGGCATCGGCCTAGCTCACAGCAACCTCAAACTCCTGGGCTCAAGTGATCCTTTGCCTCAGCCTCCCCAGTAGCTGGGACTACAGGCATGTGCCACCATGCCTGGCTAGTATTTTCTGTATATTTTTAATTTCTATTTTTAGTAGAGACGGGGTCTCACTCTTGCTCAGGCTGGTTTCGAACTCCTGACCTTGAGCCATCTGCCCGCCTTGGCCTCCCAGAGTGCTAGGATTACAGGCATGAGCCACCATGCCCGGCCTGCCATGATTTTTAAACTAAGATTTATTCAAGGGCTCATTCATCTTCACACCCCTGCCCATCACCCAAATGCACCCACATCCCCGTGATAGACAACTCCATCATTCCTGTGGCTCTGTTGATGCGCTGGGTCCCAGTCCCCACCCGACTGCCCCTGGAGCCAGGCAGGATTTCCTGAGACTCAGCCTCTGGTTCTGGGGCACCTGCTACCGCCATTGGCAACTCTGAGCAAGGCGTCAATTAGAAAGTGCATGGTAGAAGAAGGCCAGGGCAGGCGTTGGGAGACTTGCCTGAGGTTTGGTCACCAACTCTCTGGATTTTCAATAAATCACTGGGCCTCCCTCTGTCTCACTGGCTGAATTCTGCCAGGACGTCCTTCCCTCGCTTCACTCCCCTGCACATGGGAGACGCCCTGGTGCACTTTATGGTTACCTGACATCATAGATATCAGACAAGCACAGAATCCTAGAAGTGGAGGGAAACATGATCAAAAACATACAAGTAACAGTTAAGGGTGAGAGCTATGAATACACGGATGCTTAGATTCCTGCCTTTTTTGTGTCATTTCGTGGATTCAGTGGACTTTTTTTTAAGTTTTGGTGCCCAGCGATAATCCTTCCTTTTGCCTAGGTCGTCTTTCTGTGTTGCTAGTCCCCATTCTCTTTCCAACAGTTGGAATCCTTGGCAAATTTAACAGGATTTCTGATGGATCTAAATCAAAGGCAAGACAAAGCCTGGTTTCTTTGAAAAGGTACGTGAGAAGGTCATGGCTAACAGGCCATGGATGGAAATTGAAATTGAGTCTTGGAGGTTGTTGGCAACATTCAAGAGAGCAGTTTTATTAAGTTTCTTCTTCTTCTTCTTTTTTTTTATTACAAATATAAGGACTACATACTCTATAGATCTGTCTGACTCAGAGACTTGAGTGGCAGTTTGAAAGTCAAGATTGACTCTGGCAAAATGAACGCGCTGCCCTGCGGCGCCTTTTGCCCAACGCAGCTCGGTTTTGAATCAGAGCCTCACATGAATGCGTTTGATTGGCAGGAACTAAATTACACAGGGAAACCTGGCTTCACCTGTCATTTTCTGCTTCCTGGCCTCTGCTATACCAAAAGACCAGCAGCCCAGGGGTTGAATGAGCCGCAGGCAAGGCGGTCCACCCCCTCCGCCATGTCCTCTCTGGTCTAGAAACTCACAGATGCACGTGGCATTAACCTGCCAGCCAGGGGCTCCCAGTCTCGCTCAGGTGCTTGTCTTGTACGTCTGTAATTATGTCTCCATGTGAAATGCACTATCTACAGGCCAAATGGCGTGGGACCATGCAGGAGGGAGTGACTCACTGCCATGGGGAGTCACCAACGGCTCTACCGAGAAGGAGCTGACGTCAGAGACCCGAGTCGTGACTGTGAGGGGAGATGAAGAAAGCCCATCACGAAAGGCTGCGGCCACACAGGGACACCAGCGATGACTGCAGGTGGGGCGTGCCGCAGGGCAGGGGCCTGGATGAGGGGTGGACCAGGCCAGGGCATCAGACACGGGGGACACTGCAGCCCCTGCCGGCCCAAGCCCCGGCTAGACAAAGGTGATGTCACATGCGGTGGGCGGGTGGTCTATTCGTGGGGGCTGCAGCTGTGAGACACAGGACCCAGCACCCCAGAGGAGAAAGCTGCCAGACGCAGGGTGGTGTCTGGGGCCCCAAGGGTCACAGCCACTCTGTCCTCAGTTATACAGAGAAATCTGCTGTGTCTGCAAGGGACAGCGGCTGAGCCTGAATTCACAGGAAATCCAAGCGCAGGACTACAATATCATTGCTGCTACACTCGGATGTTCAGAGAAAATGTAGGGTCTTCCTCGAGAGACCCACCCACTGGGTAACAACGAATTAATGAACTTTAACCTAATCTGGTAATCTAAGTATGATGCAATAATTGTAATAGCTTCTGTACTTAAAAGTGATGAGCATTGAGGAAATATTCCCTTCTCTCCCCCCATCCTCTCCTTCTCTCCTGCCCTCCGTCTGCTTAACCCTACTGTGCTGCTATGCTCACTTTGACAGAGCTACCCCCAAATCGGGGCAGGGGGGCAGCCTAAAGCCATGGACAGGAGCAGGACAGAAGCCTCTCTGTCCTCCAGCTTTTCAACACGTTTCTAGATATTTCTAAAGCTGCCTCCAACCTACTCCTTGAGGGGACAGGGAGAGAAAAGGAGAAACTTAGCATCTTCCTTCCGCCTTGCTCATTTCTCCCCCTGCTCTCTCCTGGGCTGGAAGAGGCAGGCTTTCTCCTTTGTCCTTGATGTATCACCATGGGACTGTCTCTAACCCAAAACTCTACAGTGCAGGTGGCCAGGCCAGGCTCTTGATAGTCTCTGTGAGGAGACAAAAGAAAAGGTAAATCATATTTCTCAACAAAACTGGCTTGTCACACTAGATCTTTGGGCAAAATCCTGTATTAAATGCCAGAAACCAAATGTGAATCCTTTGTCTGTCTTGAACTCCTGTGCTAGCAGCCCTGCACTGTCCAATTCCTTCCCCCGCCCTGCCCCATGGATCTGTCTATATGTCAAGCCAATGTCAAGGTCATAGACACAAAAATGCAAATGAGAAAAGCACCTTCATATATATATATATTTATATTTATATATATATATATTTTTTTTTTGAGACTGAGTCTCACTCTGTTGCCCAGGCTAGAGTGCAGTTTACCTCACTGCAACCTCAAACTCCTGGGCTCAAGTGATCCTTTTGCCTCAGCCTCCCCAGTAGCTGGGACTACAGGCATGTGCCACCATGCCTGGCTAGTATTTTCTGTATATTTTTAATTTCTATTTATAGTAGAGACGGGGTCTCGCTCTTCCTCAGGCTGGTTTCGAACTCCTGACCTTGAGCGATCAGCCCGCCTCGGCCTCCCAGAGTGCTAGGGTTACAGGCGTGAGCCACTGCACCCAGCCCGTATTTTCTTAAAGACATCGAGGCTATGAACTCAGAACATTCCTGAGATGGGATTTGACAAGGGGCGTGCTCGGCCTGTGCGTGGATGGGAACACGGCGCTGACAGTGGGGAGGTGGTGGCACAACTGAGCGAGTCGGCAGCACCAGTGGCAGCTTTCACATTCGTCCTAGTTTGACCCAGGGCAGCCACTGGCAGACATTCTGTGTTCCCTCCTGCCTGCTACCAAGGGGACAAAAATGCCACCTGCAGCACCAGCAAAGGGACCCAGGCTGGCCCACACCCACAGGCCGGCCTGCCTCCTCCCTCTTGTTCAAGTTTCCCTGCAGCCACCATGTCCCCTGTGCCTTTGCTGTCCCTCCCAGCTTCCTGACTATCTGCCTGTTTGCCCTCTGTGGCCTCTTTTTTTTTTTTTAAAGACTTTACAATATTTTATTATGAACAATTTTAAGCAAGTATCGAGTATAACAAGCCCTCAGGTGTTCACCGCCAGCATCAACATTGATCAACTCATGGCCAATCTTGTTTTTCTTTACATAGCCCCCGTTTTTCCACCTTCCCCCACCAGATCACTTTGAAGGAAATCCCAGACATCGTATCATTTCTGGAAGCTTTCTGAGCTCCCTATGACAATTTGCTGTCTCATCTAAATTGCATGAGCCCTTCACTCAGTACCTAAACTAGGTCATAATCAGTTGTAGGGAGCTCAAAGTTTAAAACTAATTCCATTCAAATGTCATGTCTCTCTAGGAACTCTCCATAAATCTTTGGTAAAGGGAAGAGTTCTCCAGTAATTAGAATAATTCCATAATTCATCTGCTTTAATGAACAAAAAACCAAAAACATCAGTGTGCCAATGATTTTTTTTTGAAGAAGTAGATGCTTTGAAAGCACTTTTAAAAAGCCACTTTAAAGTTGCTTTTCTTCTCTTTAGTAGTTAACATTTCTGCCCCCTCTCCCTTCCCCTGTGCCATTTACCTTGTTAGTTTGCTTAGCAAACTCAGTCTGTGTAGATAGGTCAAAGAAATTTCTACCCAGCTCTGGTCTGAGTGAATGAGGTGGCGCATATTTTTATATGGTTTTCTCCAAGTGGTGAGAAAAGTACATATAGCTCTTAAAAATTTTCAGCTCTAATTACTTGGGTAGACAAGGGCTGCAAGAAACATCAGAGAATGACTGCTTCATTTCTTGGCTGGATCTCAACTTGTTGCTGCACAGGCCCAAATTTTACTTAGATAAAACTATACTCTCTGTTCTTTTCTACATAGCTTCGTCAGCAGAGATTGTAACACAAGTGTCACCAATAAAAGTCTGGACTCCGGTTTCAGTGAGGGCAAAAGTGGCTACAGGGAAATCCCAGCTTCACCTCTAGCCAGAAGTTTGTTTAGCATAAGAATTCCAGGGGCTTGTTTGTTGTTAAAACATGACTATGTTCCTGGGGTGGTGCCCATGCTAGCTTCAGGGTTTGTCTCCAAATTCGGTATGTAACCCTTGCTAGTATAATGGCCAGTTTGTAAGGAAGCAGATGGCGAAGCAGGTGACCTGGCCTAAGTGTTTAGTTTTGAAATATGACACACCCCCAAACAGACTTGTAGACTCAAGTGTTATGTGTTGCCAATATTTTGTCAGTTAGTCAACAGTTTTTCAAAATGTATTTGCAGGCAAATACAAAAATTCAAAATGTATTTGCAGGCAAATATTCTTATTTCTAATAAATGAAATGAGGTGTTTGTTCTGAAATATCATTGTATAAAATGATATAAATGGTATATAAATGGTATAAAATGATAACTTTGTATACTAATATGAACCATGTTAGAGAAGTATATATTCTCTCATTTTATATAAAAATTCCCATTTCTTTTTATTTATTTATTTTTGAGAATTCTTAACTCTCAGCCATTTATTTTTAATTTAACTCACCTAAGGTTTTTTTTTTTTTTTAACTACTCTATAAAGGCCAGTTTCCAAATCTTATCTCCCATTTGCATTTGTATTATTTAGTGGTTTCAGGACCAAATACAAATTTGATTCCAAGATTTTTTTTTTTTTTGCTCAGAACTAAGGGTTGTTGTAAATATTTAAGGTAATTGCTAGGAGAGCAAATGAAGATCTTCAAGTGAAGCTCAAATCCCTCATCTTCTGTATGGGGAAGCTGGTGCTTCCAGAAGTTCACACTGCCAGGAGCAGGGAGGACCAGCAATACAATCCGCATATTCTAACTCCCCTGAATACTATATAGTCCCTCACCTTCTGTTTTTTAAAAATTATTTCTGGGTGCTTTCAGCATAATTGTATAGCTCGGCTGCCCTTTAGTTAACTTAAACTGGATTACATGCTAAAACATATTTAGCTTGTCTATGATTCCCTTCCCTTTTTGGAAATTAAATGCGAAGAGTGTCAGAAGTCATTGGCCCTTGGAGAACAATGGAAACCTAGGGGTAGAGCCAAGCTCAAACCCTCCATATTCCCTGGGCACTCTGCCCGTCTCAGGGAAAAGGGGTCTCTCCAGTGTGTAGCTCTGGTCCCTTGTGGAGGGGGCCCAGTGCTGTCCTGCTTCAGGGTGGCGGTGGGTGAGCCAGCGCTGAGCGCTTGATGGACAGTGGTCCACTGCAGGACGGTGAGTTCTGGAACACTGTGCCTTCGAGACGCTGTAATCGTAGATTCTGGTAAAGTCAGGGCAGGAAGCAACTGGGAAAATTGTCTGGTAGAATTCTCTTATTTTATAGATAAGAGAAGTAAGGCCCAGATAATGATGAGCTATGCAAGAGAGAGTGGGGGAGAGCTTGGAGAACGAGCTGTGCAGACACACGAACCAAGAACGCTCACTCAGTACGGGACTTGTTTCCTGGGCTCCCTGGGCTCCGCTTCTATGGTCACTTCTCACCTCAGCGTGTGGATGGCTCCCATGCTGCCTGGGTGGTCTGAGCAGGAGTAGATAACTAAACAGCACTGAACTCCGTGCTGAGAAAGTACTCCCTTTCCAGTGCTCTTTCTCAATCCCTCTGGTTAGCTAGGGAGAAATTTCTCTAACACTCCTTGATCTCCCCTTTTCCTGTAGGCTCAAAGCCCAAAGGCAAGAATAGCTGGCTAGAGTTCAATCAATGACAGTGTGTTGTTCTTACTTTTTTTTTTTTAATATATATATATATTAATAATATGGAACACTTCACGAATTTGCGTGTCATCCTTACGCAGGGGCCATGCTAATCTTCTCTGTATCCTTCCAATTTTAGTATATGTGGTGCTGAAGCGAGTACTGTTCTTGCTTTTTAATGTATTTAATTTTATGTTGCCTTCAACTTGTGGCAAACAATACTGGTTTTCCCATTTATGGAAAGCTTCCTTTCACATTAATTCCTTTAGAAAAAGAAGTGAGTTTATTAGCAGGAAAAACGTGTCTAGTAAAAATAGCACATGTGGCATGCAGATAAGGCAAAATTGGAAAGGTGGCAGGTGACACGTTTGGGAAACACTGTGTTAAGTTGATAAAAATGGATCTGAAGGGTAGAAGTAGAATTTAATACTGATTAAGTGGCAAGTATTCATGTAGGACCTGGATCATGCCTTTGAGGAGCTTAAAACGTATTTTATAATAATTTGAGAAAATAAGGCATATATGTATGAAAATAAAATAAATACCAAGTCCAAATGGTGAACAGTCAGAGAAGGGCATGTCTTGTCTCTTTTTCCACAATGGAAGGAAAATAATTGCTTTAAGCACAGAGAAGAAAGAAAGCTCCCTCTAGGCATAGGGAAGATATTAGCAAGAAGGTGGGACTCTACCCAAGCCCAGAAGAGAACGATTTAGAAAATTAAACAGGAGAAGGAGAATATTACCAGCAGAGCTGTGGTTCCCAGCTGATTTTTTAGGATTCTACATAGAAGCCTATAATTCAAATTTTATTTTTCACAATTATTTTTTTACTATTTTTGAGAACTATAACAACACACACTCACATACACTTCAATGCAATAGATACAAGTTTAAATAATAATGGAGACTGCCATGTGTTAACTTTGCTAAAAGATTAGCATGTTTTGTGTTGACCTCAGTCTCTTTATTACTATGTTTCTGAATGCAGATAATGCACCAGGGATGAAAATGAAATAAAGTTTGTTCCTTTATTTTGTTTAAAACTTAATGTGTTTTAAACTTAATTAAAGTTTATGGGTTGTTTTGAAGCTTTGAGTAAATAAACTCAGGAATGAGCACGGAGATTTTTGAGTTTCTTTTTATTTATACCACTGAACATTTCATATTGTTATAAAGCATATTTGGAAAGCATTTTCTAGAAACAAAAACATTTAAGTGGCTACGAAAGCTGTTCATTAACACTCTCAAAATTAAACCATCACCAATTAAGGATTATGAGCTGTTGTTAGATACTCTGCATGCTTTGACTTTAAAATGGAAATTTCCTCTAGCTCTGCTCTCAGACTGCTGGAGGACTTTAAGTGTATCCTAAGATTGCAAGACAGACTGTTAAATTATTACCATTTGCAAAACC